GAGTGCTTCAACATTCGGGTCACGATTATTGACAAGGAAAAAGTGGGTCCCGAGGCCTGACCAGTTGAGAACCACTGGGCTAGAAACCAGGTACAGTAGGTATGTTAAAACAAAAAGAACATTAAACAGACATCTAAATGTTTTTACAAAAGCAGCAACATCCTTCATGGGATCTCCAAACAAGAAATTAAAGGGCACGTTTGGGTCTCAAACATGAATGGGAATCTTAAGTAATGCATTGCTGATAATAACATCATGTATTTCAAATGAAAAATATCCTTTTCCAGTTTTTTTTGCAAAGACAACATCATCATTTCTTAATGTTAAACAATCTCTATGAGCCTTAGCATTGTACTGCATCATTGTTTTATCAAAGCTTTTATCCAGAACTCTTAGCCAATTTTTTCATAAAAAATAAAATGGAATTACAGTCAGGCTTAAACAATCAAGATGTCATATTATACCATAAAATAACAAAATTGTAATACATTTTTTGTCATTAATGGTAAAATGTATACTTTATAAATGGTTAAATAGGGTAAAGGTCAGGTTTTCTTTTGTTTTAACTTCTACTGACACGTTCCTGCTGTGTCATCATCACTCCAGCCTTTATTTGCATGTACTGTACATGAATGTGTGTAAGTGTCACCCCATGTATAAGTGGGCGGTGCTGCTGGCTGGTGCACATTCTCTACATAAACTTCTTGTCACACGATTGATACTAGTTGGGTTGCATCATCATGAAATGCCAAACCACAACCGTTTTCCCTTGTGTGTTTGCGTGAGTAGGAAAATCCGTAGGTGCTCAAATATCTGAAGAGAACACGCAAGTTACAACATCAAAGGAAACTGGCCCTTCAATAGTTTGTTTTTATATGTCAGTCAGTTTATACATTTTTATCTTCACGGTCATTTATATATATTTTTCTTACTCCCTAATGCTGGTTTATTACTATTTCTATTTTGAGATGTTTATATTTTAGAATTGTTTACTCCTACTCTTTTAATTTGTTATTATGTGCAATTCCTTGTTTTGCTACAACACGTTTTTTTCTTAAATTAGGATTAATAAAGTACACTGTATTTTATCTTGTCTTAAAAAATAAAACTGCACCATACCACTTTATTTACCTTGTTTTTGATTGTGTGTATAAAACAACTTGTATTATTTCCCCCATCTACAAGCTAATGTCAGAGGTGGGAAGTAGTGGAGTACAAATACTTTGTTACTGTACTTAAGTAAAATGTTCTGGTATCAGTACTTTACTCCACTACTTATTTTTCTGACAAGTTTTTACTTCTTAAATTTTTAACACAAATACCTGTACTTAAAACAGGCTTGTTACTTTAGTTTTAATCTGCGTTTGGTGGTGTGAACATTATTATTTAGAGTCATTGCGTGCCTATAGATTTTAACACGATCCGTGTATCCATCATTTCCTGGTCTTCGAGAAGAGGGACCAATGAGAACATCATTTTGCCGTTGTTCAGCAGCGAAACATTCATTAGCTAACAATGACATTATTGTTATATTAAAGATCACTTATTATGCAAAATCCACTTTTTCTAGTCTTTCATACATAAACATGTGTCCCCTCTGTGTAAAGAGATTCTGAAAGTTTCAGGAACAAAGACCCCTCTCGTTTTGTCCTGATCCATTTATATAAAAACCTGTCTGAAAATGAGCTGATCAGATTTTGGCCACTTTATGATGTCATAACGTGTTTTTGGCTTGTGTAACCATTAGCCAATCACCAACCAAGGTAACACCCCCCACCTTATCACCTGAATCTCCTCCTACATTACATTACATGTTACTTATTAGACGCTTTTATCCAAAGCGACTTCCATACTCAATACTGTGGGCAATCCCCACAGGAGCAATTTGGGGTGAAGTGTCTTGCCCAGGGACACAACAACATGCTGACTGCAGTGGGATTTGAACCTGTGACCCCCTGATCCCAACACCAAGGCTCTATCCACTGCGCCCCTTATTGTCATCTAAAGTAACAGACAGAGAATCAGCACTTTTGAAACAGAGCTGAAACAGAAGGGTTTATGGGATGCTACAATGCATGATCTGTTTGGTATTCAAGCCAAACACTTCAGAAACATGTTTCGTATATATCTGAGACCTATAATATATTGATGAAAAACAGTATAATAGGGGACCTTTAATATAAAGTGAGGTCAGTTACTCTATAAAACAGTTGGTAGTTGTGGGTACTTTTTACTTAAGTACATTTCGAAGCCCATACTTCTTTACTTGAGAAAATAAATATTGTCAGTACTTCTACTTTTACCAGAGTATTTTTAAACACGAGTATCTGTACTTCTACTTTGCCATCTCTGCACCTATCTACAACCTAGTGTATGTTGTGTGTACTTGCATGTACCGGTTGGTCTCCTGTTTGAGCCGGCCCAGCTGTGCACCCAACTGATGGTGCGAGCGCTGAGGCTCCTGGGAGTGGGTGGTGTTTATGGTGCTGGCTACAGACTGTGTGGGGTCAATTGTCGTCACAGGGTCTTCAGTCAGAGAAGCTAAAACGGGACCAAACTCTGCTTCCTCTTCATCCACTTCATCTTCCTTCTCTGCTCCCTCGCACTCTGACGCTGGACCGAAGTGGGTCTGCAGCTCTGTCAAAGGCATGTGTGGTACTGTAAATTCAGTTATTGGAATATTATATGAAGACAGAAAGTTATGAGATGTAATATTCTGTATATGTCCACTAGATGGCAGCAGAGGCTCAGGCCAGGCTTCTGACCTGGTATGAGGATGGTTATTGCAGCCTGCACCGCTCGGCGGATGATGTTATCCATGGCAAACATCCAGTGGGGTTTAATGTGATGGTTCCTTAAGACTTTGTTAACCTAGAATATCACACACACAAAAACGAGGACAGACAGTTATCTAACAACATACTTTTAGACTCAAATGATCCATAATCATAGAAAAGGATATGTGTCTATGTTGATGTTACACATGGAGCTGCTGTGATGCAAGTCAAATTTCAGACTTGATCTGACCATTAAAGTATTATCTTATCGT